CCCAAAACCTCGGGACACTGCACTAATTATTATTTCCTCTGTTTCCTCCATGTTGTTTCATAGGTCATACAACTCTGCCCAAATCTCTTGCTGTCGTCACTCTAAAATCACTCCACTCCCACCTCACCTATTGAATGCGTCGTCTGTCGTCACAGTGGACTGCCATCCCAACTGAGCATTTTTCAATTCAGGCATGTTTGCTGTCGTGGCGCTGTAGTGGCAATATCCCACCTCGCGCGCCACCACACGACACAGCGTGGTGCCCCGTCAGCGTGCCGCGGCAGCACTTGCACAACGAATGGGATGGTCGATGCTGCACGGTGTTCAGCTCAGTGCAAATCTGAAAAGGTCTCTTTTCAAGATCGATCGCCGTTGGTTGAAATTTAGTCCATGTCTGTGTCATTCCAGTAACAGTAATACCCTTTATTTGAGACTGTTGGCACATTTTCATTCATTTCTATGACAGCATTGTTTGGGTCTTTACGAAAACATTGAGGCGCATTAACGTGCTTGGAATTTCACCACACAAATAATGACAATTTGCATGAAATAGAAAATGGATGAGAAATGTGAGGAAGAAACCTGTCGCCACAGTGCGCGTGCGTGCGTGTGTGTGTGTGTGTGTGTGTGTGTGTGTGTGTGTGTGTGTGTGTGTGCGCGCGCGTGTGTCTCGAATAGTATATTTATTGTTGCCTCCAGGGTCGTTGACATGAGGCTCACATGACGTTACTTGCAAGTGCGCACATGCACCGGGACACACACACACACACACACACACACACACACACACACACACACACACACACACGCGCACACACACACACACACACACACACACACACACACACACACACAAAGCAGTGCAACTGTAGATGTCTAATTGACAGGCTGTTGGGGACTGAGCTGGTTGGGATAAGCCAGTCACTTTTACGCTCCCACCATCGTCATTACCCACCGAGCTGCATGTTTTTGTGTGTGCGTGCGTGTGTGTGTGTGTGTGTGTGTGTGTGTGTGTGTGTGTGTGTGTGTGTGTGGCGGTGTTGTTGAGTGCTGTGAATGCATTGAACCCACCGAGGAAGTGGTTGTCACTCTTTTCTGCACATGTGCACGGCTCATTTCTTCAGACACACGCACATACATGCACAAACGTGCTGAAGTTACATGTACAGAATGTGTTTCTTGTGATGATAACAGTCATAATTTGCATGTCACTTTCGACACTAAACAAGCCGCACCGGCCCTGAGTGAAAATCCGACAATCTACAAGCATTTTGGATCGAAGGGCATATGTATTACCAAAAAAAAAAAAGGAAAGAAAGAAAGGAAGAATTTGACTAGGATGAGTGAGCATGATTTCACATCTCAGTGAATACCCGTTTACTGATTTTTTTTTTCCTGCCCATATAATCAGTTCAACCTGTTGGTGTAAACAATTCTTTCAACCATCTCTGCAAATAAAAGTTCAAAGTGTGATTTAAGCTAACGAGGAGTTGCAAACCTTGCTTCTCACTATGGTGGAATTGTAAACATTAATAATGATTTGCTTGTTGTAAAAGTAACAAACTGACAAGTTAAAGTGTCAGTGTCTCAGCTTGCTAGAGGAATTTTCACAGTAGATGCTTGATTATCAATTATTATCAACTATACAGATAGGAGTAGAATACTCCATTGTGAAAAAAAAAAAGCAAAAGTGTCAGTGTCTCAGCTTGCTAGAGGAATTTTCATAGTAGATGCATGATTATCAATTATTATCAGCTATACAGAATTATTATCAACTATACAGATAGGAGTAGAATACTCCATTGTGAAAAAAAAAAAGCAAGCTCTTGTGCCAGAGACATGACGATGGTTAAATCCACATCACATGCTTTATAGACGCCTGCTAATCTCAGTCTCCATTTCTGCTGGATCATTTTTTAGCCTTTTGTAAGTGGCTTTTTGGTGAAGGAAGTGTGTGTGTGTTTTGAAGGGATGTCTGTTAATTGGCCAACATCTATTTGAATTGAAAAAAAGAGCTTATATAACTATTCACTTAAAATCCAATTAATTAGAAAGCCTCTAATTAATTACCTCGCCCTAATGGGGTCCCACCAGTAGGTTTACTTTGTCAGTAAAAATGTGCTTAAAAGCCCTTGAGTGCTTCAATCCTAAACTGGTATAAATTTGCACAATTTAGAAAATGCATGACTTCACAATGTGTGCTTTAGAGTTGTGAAAAAAACAATAGAACACTTATTTTTTGGGAACCTAAACATGGTGTGCGCAACGGTGTGTCTTATTTCTTCATGGAATTGATTTACTTGGAGAGAGGTTCTCATTCTCACCATGATGGAAAAAAAATACAATTTGGCAATATAAACAACAACAAAAGCACACCGATGCCATGCGGCTAACACTATATTCCTTCGGTTTGCTTCACGGGCAGAGAGAGAGTAGCATCAACGTGAACCCAGATTCTAATAGATTACCTCGCAAACTACCTCTTAGCTGTTTAGTTCACTCCATGAATATATGCAGAGGGGATCTGTCCTTGCTGAGAGCAAAATCTAATAATGCATCAGCAAACATAACTAGGAGTCAGAGCAAACCAATCAAGTGCGCTGTCCAGGAAAAAAAAAAAAGAAAAATAAAAGCCAAAGGGCTTGCAGCTCATCTTTCTGACAGCTCCACACAATAGATTTACAATTAAGCTGTGTTAGACTGGAAGAAAAGTATTGTATTTACTCAGGGCTCGTTGAATCAGCTTTATCTTGTGTGATGAAACCAAGTCAACAATGAATTTCTGTAATTAAAAAGTTATCACCTGTATTGAATAACCGCAATGAAGTGAAAGGGTAAAATACATCCATTTTGCATGGTAATATATTCCCCCCACATAAATTAGAGCAGCCAGACAAATGTTTGCAGACTGTGAGCTGTTTATTAGCATACGGCGTTTGAAATGGATAAAGACCAGTAGCTTTCTGAATTATCAACTTAAAAATGGAATGGAAACATTCTGACCTGATTTAAAAAAAAAAAAAAACATTTGTATATATGAACGCATGCAACAGAAGCGGTGACTTTTCATCCAAATGATGAACTCTGACGCTGATTGCAAACGAAAGAAAAGCATAGAGATGGCAAGTGAAAAATGCCAGGAAACATCACAATTTTGCCATGACTCACATCTTTGTGACTCTTGGCGAAATGGAACATCTGACTCGCCATGATGATCAATCGGGAGAAAACGCATGACAAGAAGCCAATCCATGAGGTGGTTCCCCACGAGGGCACAAGTAATGGCTGGGGGGGCGCCGGGTTTCTGCATCTTTGGATGTGATTAATAGCGCATCACGACTAATAATAACTTCCTTCTACTTCCAGGTTCAAAATAAATGGCATACAAGCTATTATTTGCTTTAGTTTTTTATTATTGTTCTTTTTTCCGATAAAACACCCATGCAGGCAATCACGTTCCTGTCCTTTTTTCTGCTGACACAATTCCCTGACCACGTCGCCGCAACACTTCAGCCATGCTCCCAAATCCGAACTCGGAGTAAATGATTTGTCAGGCGTATAGGCAGCAGCAAGTAGCCTGTAACAAATCTAAGTGACAGCCTCCGAAAATGCAGATACACTCGATCACAAGGCTGACAGAGAGGAACAAGCAGCTTAGGGATCCGATGAAGTCACCCGGAGTCCAAGAAGTGCTAATAGACGCTTCACTGGCTGACTGACATGTGCCTGACATTTACTACATGACACATTTGCACCGAAATTCAAGTGGGAAGTGTACTGTTTATGGCGCACGATCAAATTTTAAAGCAATATTGTCACTACAAACCGCTTCTCCTCCCGCACGATGTCTCACGTGTACTTTTGGCTGTTTAAACCCGGCGAGGCACAATTTACCTGTACCTGTGACGTTAGGTAAGCCCTATTTTAAAATGCACGCCCGTGAGTAAGGGAAAAGCAAACAATGAATTATTTGTGTGTAATTGAAAAATAAATTAAAGGCAGTGCACTGTCTTTGCCGTATCAATATTGAACACACCCCGTAAAGACTTGCTTTATCAACACTAAAGCAATTGCATGAAAAGATGGGGGGAATCCATCTCCTAGGAGGAGAGTGCCTTTAATAACTACTGTTGAAAACAACAAGAAACTCTCTCTCTCTCTCTCTCTCTCTCTCTCTCTCTCTCTCTCTCTCTCTCTCTCTGTCCCCCCTGTAATACAAACACTCACTCACGCCCATTCGCACGGAGATTGTTTCATCCCTTTTAGTCAATCTGGCTAATGCAAAAATCATGTATATCTGTCTTTAAATATTTAAACGCACAGCAGCCCGATTGAAATACAACGTTGAAGAAGCATTACTCTCCTCTCAGATGGGAGAGAGTGAGAGAGAGAGAGAGAGAGAGAGAGAGAGAGAGAGAGAGAGAGAGAGAGAGAGAGCGGCAGAGAGGAAAAAAACACGAGACGAGGCTATTTTTGACGACGATTTTATTTGCCGCGCACTCTCGGCGCAACGACTTTGAGGAAGCATCAGAGGGATTTGCTGGGGAAAAAAGTATGCGCATCCCACAGACGGTAGCTTTTTGTTTTGGTCCTTTGATAGCAGCCTGGGATATTTGTCATAGTTGACAGCAGCATAGAAACGAAACGCTCAATCGGAGTGGAAACGCTGTTGCTGCGTTAAACTTGGTGAGGCGAGAGGTGGCTCACTGATGGAGCTTGAGTCATGAATCTTGTATGAAGAAACGGATCGTAGAGACCACTTGTACCCGGGAGTTGACTACACACACGTACACACACAGGTGATGTCTCCGTTTCCTTCCATGTGAACTGGTTTTTGGGTGAACAGGATGAGACTTTCACAAACTGTACCCGAAAGATGTGTGCAATTAAAGATATGTCAAACATATTTCCACATGAATTTACTTCAGAAAGTTCCGATAATGCGGTGATGCGACCCGGTCCAGGAAAAGGGAAGAACTTTGAGAAACTTTCTCACTCACCACAGTGAAGTCCTCCGCCGAGCAGTTTTGCCCGCTGAAATTGCAGCTCATGAGCATCTCATCCAGCTGATGTCCCGTCCTGTTGAATATGTCCTGCATGTCAGGCGCAGGATACATAAGATCGGCGGGCTTGTGACCGTCCCTGTTTTTGGGGGGCAGTCCCGTCAGGTTAGCCAAGTGGTAGATGTCAGCATCGGTGAGCGCGGAGAAGCGAAAGCGGTTGATGTTGCAGATGGTCACGGCAGGGAAAACCATCTCAGGGGTCGCCTCTTCGTTGAGTGCGGTGACATGGGGGTGCTCCAGGTAGGAGATGGCACATTTTGCTGCCTGGTAAACAAAGAGCGCCAGTGAAGTGAGAAAAGCAAGAGCCCACAGAGTCTGCCGGATACCAAGTCGTCCAGAGACAAAGATGTGATTAATCCCATGTAGGGAGCAGGAGTTTGCGAACCCAGCCAAGTCCTTGGCCGGAGGTACGCAGCTCTCCTCAATCAGACTCTCCTTGTCCCCATCCTGTTTCTTTTTCTGCTTCTCATCCTCCTCTGCAAACTTGATTTTGCAAACAAATTCGATAGGCATGGGGGCAGCCAGGTCTGCGATTGTTTCTTTCTTTTTTTTTTTCTTTTCTTTTCTTTTTTTTTTTTAAAGTAGCTACCTAGCCCAGGATAACCTCCTCCTTTGATTTCCTTGGCGTTTGTGCTCCGAGCAAAGAAACAACTCCGGGAAGAAGAGAGAAAACGAGAAGAGTTTGCTGCTGCTGCTGCTGCTGCTGCCGTTGCTGCCTGCGCTGTGACTGATTGTGCTGCTGCTGCTGCTGCCTCTACCACGGCTCCTTGTGACCACGGCGCTGCTGCTCCTGCTGCTGCTTTGCTCTCAATGCTTGTCTCACTACTTGATCAGCTCACACGCTTATCAGCCAGAATACAGCTGTCCATAATATTAAAAAAAAAAAGATAAATAAATCAACACCTTGAACCGACGCAAGTAAATGCAGTACAATGAGTCGGGCTAAAATAAGAACAGAGTTCTTAATAATTCATAAGGAGGTAGCGTGGCGATTACTTCCCCTTCAGTGGCGCAAGTTGCAACTTGCTGTGGTCATCCATGTGATTCCGACAACCCCCTACCCCCGTGCACCCCCCCCCCCACACACACACACACAAACACACACACACACGCACACAGCCCACCTGGTTCAGATGACTCTTCCACTTTAAACCAAGAAAATGCTGTCAAATATTGGCCCAAACATTCAATATTTAATCAGTGTCCCAACATATCACTCCTCACGTAAGTCTATAGAAAAGTTCTAATTACGTCTGCCAAGCATGAAATGGAAGGATTGTTTGGTTTGTTCGTGAGCAGGAGTATGCAAAGACAAGAAATACGATTTTAATCAAACTTTGTGCAGGGGCAGCTCATGCGCTCAGGAACAACTTGTTGATTATTGGGTGTGAATCAGGAAGCAAAGCTGGTCAAGCAATTCATTGGCACTGATCTCTATCTGGTTTACAATATACAATAACTGGCCATCTGTAAAATGCCTCTTTTGCCTCTTCATTACTTCCGTTATTCTTCATAAACTATTATCTAACTAACTAAAAGGTAGCACACACACACAAATAGAGTGTTTTCCACAAAATCACACTTCAAAGTGAACTCAGAGATTTGTTTTTAAATACATTACAGATGTCTGAAGACTGAGTACTATGTAGTGCTAAATTGTGGAGCTAGAGCAGTTTTTCCCCAGTAAATTTTTTTTCCGGGTTTTCATGGCTGAAACAGAACCCAGTGACGCACTTGTCTGGCATGGGGCTTCTCTTAAAATGGATTGTGACGGACAAACAAAGAAGTCACGCAAATGAAACTTCTGTGTAATACTAAGTATGATTTGAGTTGTGATCAAAACAAGCAGAGGTTCGGGTGCATACAAGGCTACTGCTATCATCCAATTATGCCTCCATTATCTGATCTGCTTATCCTCACGAGGGTCACGGGTATGCTGGAGGCTATCCAAGCTGTCTTCAGGCAACAGGTGGTGGACACCCTGAACTGGTTGCTAGCCAATCGCAGGGCACACAGAGACGAACAACCAGCCGCGCTCACACCCACACCTCGGGACAATTTACAGTGTTCAGTCAACCTACCAGGCATGTTTTTAAAACGTGGAAGAAAACCAAAGTACCCAGTGAAAACCCACACAGACGCATGGAGAACGTACAAAATCCACACAGGAGGGCCGGAGCCGGAATTGAACCCTGCACCTCTGCACTGTGAGGCGGACGTGCTAACCAGTTGACGCTGCTGCCATCAATCTTTCAAAAATAATGTGTTACTCTCTTTCTTTTTACGAACAATAATTTTGGGCTGCTATTGAACAGTTTCGATAGTGATGCTCTGTCTCCCCAGTCAGAGTTTGCTCTGGCACTCCCGGAGAGTGGCGCTCTGAATGTCCAAACAGCACATTTCAACAACGCTCTTTGAGTTTCTATCTATCTGTCTATCTATCTATCTATCTACTGTATGTGCCTGATGAAACGTGATGGTAAACTTATAACAATTGAAACCACTGAAGAGATCCATCATGTTGTCGCAGCAGTTTTAAGTCTTGACTTTTTAATGGCCTGTACAGTCTTCAAATATTTGGGTCTGCAGAGTGACCGGATATCCATCAAATGTGAAATTAAAGATTTTGTTATTTGCTTACTGTATGTCAGAAAATGTGTCTGTGAGTGCTGGGTCCATGTGCCACATGCACATATCTGCTGTCTCCAAGTGGAAAAAAAATGTATGTTGTCTTCATGGGTATTTATTATTAATTATAAATAACTTTAAAAAAGAGAAATATATTATTAAGGTACATGGCAATTGTTTTAAATTGTGTAAAAAAATTACACATTCGGTCCGCTTTAACCCTTTCACGCACAAATAATGATAACCCACATCACAATTTTTTTTCCTCAAGTATTTTTTTGTCATTAGGCATAAAAAAAAAAAAATCACCTTGAATGGCAACACACATAAGGGTAATGGCTGATGTACAACTGTGACATTAAGATGAATTAATATAAGAGAAAACAACATTTGAAAAGCTGTCCACCCTTGTAACCGCTGTCCCTGAAAGGGTTAAAACAAGAAACAAGCATATGTGTAGCATTAGAATTCCTGTATTATGTTTGCAGTTGGCCTTGATATCTTATGATTTACAGTACAGTACATATTTGCTGCCAATTGACCAGCAAAAGATATATGACTCACTCTGTATTTCATATTGTACAGAAAAATTAAAAACTGAACTCAACAAATGCATTGGACAAGATTAATAATGTTGAAGCGACAATAATAATGTGCATAGTTTGAACATTTAATTCAGTAATTCTTTCACATAGCGCTAGAAGGAGCCCGCATATTTTGAGGATGACTGCTTCAGCACCCCCCCACCCTCAAATCAGTTTTAATGGGGTTTTAAATCTTGTTATCAGTTACATGGTATCAGTACAGATTGTTATTTCATTTTATGTCTCTTTTTTTCTTTTAGCAAAAGCTATCCTTCCAACTTTATCTGATAAAACTGCAGTGTAATTCTACTGTGTTATGGATATTATATTATGTGAGGTGACCATGTTTCAGTTTCGCCTCTGGCAGCAGGCACGGGGAGGTCTTGCTACCACACAGTCTTTTTATGTGGCTATCTTCCAAAGATGCAGGGCTTATTTACAGTCGCACATAGGGAAGCAATGCTCATGTCTGAATAGCATGCGAAAATAAAAGCATACGGGCACATCTGGCAAATAAAAACCTGAAGGACTCACGGAGTGGATGGCATTCTACATGTGTCCAAACCAATTTTAATCAAACAAAGGGTCTTATCTCGCTGAGGCTCCAAAATGACACTGGATGGATGAAATGCTGCCGACCTTTGACTTATTTCCATCTGTCATTTTGCACCCTTTTTTTAAAAATGGCTTCACCTATGTATCTTTAGGTTGAATGTCAAAGACAATTAGTAATTCCATGGGTGGATACGATTTCTCATGCACAAATAGCAGTTCTGAATGAATGTGTGGACAGAAAGAAAAGATGCGTTAAAACTGCTCACTTTGGTCCATTTATCAGGGAATGAAATAAAAGAGAACGCAGGACTGGAAGATATGGATGGATTATATGCTCCCAAGAGAAGCAGCTGATTATCATCTTGTTCAAAAAGCTCCATCTATTGGACGTGTGCATTTAATTGCCGCAGTGCAGCTCTCTTTTGCTTAAGCTGGAGGGACTAAGTAGACACATGCTCTGCATGACCAATAATTATCATCATCCATCCATTGCTTCTATACCCCACTCCCAAACAATTACGAAATGATGTTATTTTAATTTATTTGGTAAAGATTTCAGTTTGAGAATATTTAAACATTCTTTTTCCCAATTATTTGGACATCCATTTCAGGGCTACGATGCAGCATTCTCTGTTGTGTTGCCATTTTTTTGATTTGGGATCTGTAAATTCCGTGAAACACAAAATCTCTACTTTTGAATGAACCCCAAAAAAAAAAAAAAAAAACCTCCAAAAGTTAATTCCCTCTTTCTTTGAAACCATCAATACCGTGTGGGTGTTTTGAAATAAGATTTAGAAAAAGGAAAAAAAAAAGGACATGAACAACAAAGCACCGCGGAAGAAAATCTCTGATGTTACAAATTTATGACCTTGGATTTATACCCTGCCAGTACAAAGAGAAAACAAGAAGAACATTTCAATTAACTGTTTTGTATGACCGAGCCAAATGATAAACAAAACAAAATTCTGTGATTAGTGGTTGTGTATATGAAAGTGCTGGACACCAAATATCTGTGAATAAGTCTCATCAAAAGTTGGTCACCAAGCGAATGCACATATCCTCATGAATTAACCCCCCAGCTGTGCTCCTTAAAAGTTTCCATTTATTGACCAGATGTACAAAACAAAAACCAAAGTTGATTGCAACGCCAATACATCCATATTAATAGTGTGAAGAAATAAAAGCTCAACAATGTATAAATTAATTGTCGCTTGTCAGCCAAACTTGCTGAGCTACGGCACAGGTGTGAGAACAAGTGCCCAAGGAACGAGACCACGAAATGTTATGTATTCATCTATCTGTGCATGCTGGAATGCAGTTGCAATGATTTGAAATAACTGCATAAAGATGAAGCTGAACTAGTGTTTTGTGCATTCGGAACGTGTACATGTGCCTCTATTTCTGATGGAGGTTTGCTGGAAGGAAAAAAAAAATTGCTTTCCACTCATTACCCTTCAATCATAAAGGTGCAGCCGCAAGATAGGCCTTCACCCTGATGTCTTTGGCACACAACTATGATATATTTGGTACACAATCAGCTCAACTTTTTGGACCTGCCGGCTTGTGGCTTCTATTTGACAGGTATTTATGTGGTGAAAACAAATAATGACGACGTAACGCAACAAAGGACGCCGCTGCCCTAGCGCTAACACATGCAGGTATCAGTGGTCAACAGAAAGCCCAGCTCTGTGCAGCCAAGGGAAATGTCAAATTTGCATAAAAGCCACTAAATATTGTATTTCTTGTTGTTCACTGCGCCCCATGTTTGAAGGAATGCAATGGTGTCGCCTGCAGAGCGCAGGTTGATATTTGCTCTTTTTTTTCCCTTCAAGAAAACACCGTAGGTCACAGCTCAGTAAAAGGGACATTTAAATGGAGCTGTTACCGTTTAATAGTGAAATGCGCTGAATGTGATAAGGCCTGCTGCATAGTGGGCCAAATGTGTCTGAACTGAACCATACAGTGGTCCTATATATCCAAAACTAGATGTATAATTTCACATGTGCCTGTAGTTAAAAAAAGTGAAACGCGGAGAGTCTGTCACGGAAATAAATGAGTGCAATCTTTGAATGGGGTGATAGTTGAGCATAGCCTCTTAAATAGCCACATTCTAAGCTCTATTTCTCCTCTGTTTGCATTATTATTATATAACTACAGCAGCCAAAGAAATCCAATTCCCTCCTGAAACTTGCACCATGTTGTTTCTGGGTTCAATAAAAAAAAA